TCTTGCACCTTTGTTGTTGTTGCTATTCTTCATCCTTATACAATCACAAACATCCTACCAAAAGACTGGCTTTCCAAGACAGAAGACCACACAGACCCAGCAAATCATCGCTCCATCTTTTCCATACCAATCATTTGCAAAATCTTTGAACACATAATACACAAACACATCATGAATAATAACTCAATACGTTTATCGGCCCAAACGTTCATAGGAGGCACACTTAATCACAATCAGTCATGACAATACCCTACAGTTAGACAGACTTGACATTTGATGCCATACTGCTTGACATCGCTAAAGCCTGTAACAAATCCCACAGAAGACTGACGCTCAAATTAAAGTATTGCAGGATCACAGGAACAGTTCTTCACTGGACCAATGTCCCTCTGACGTGTAGGATCCAACATGTCCTGCTCAACGGTGTATCCTCTGACTCTGCCCCTGTCTGTTCTGATATCCCGCAAGGCACCTTCGACTACACAAACAGCAGCTGACACCCATAACATCTTATAAGTACCTAGAAGTACACCTCACACATACACTCTACTTTAACACACACACTGACTCATCACAAAGCCAAAATAACACTGACATTGAGAAGCTCGAGCACGTTAACACTAAGGGTGCATGTCCATTACACTAAATTACATGCATGCACCTGGTGATAAAATTCACATTAAAAAAAGATAAGCATGGACTTTTTGGAGACACGAAGACTAGCACAGATTTACAATCATGTATAAGAATACAAGCAACACATACACTTAGCACAAGAAATTCACATAACACCGACACCGACTCTTACAAGCACTCAATCTACCCACATACATATGCGAGTGGAACAAACACAATACATCACAGAACTAGGAACACAAAGATCTTTCTAAATAGTCAATTGTACAATTAGCACCCTGTGCATCATGAATTGAGATAGATATTTGCATTCTTCAAGTAGCGCACAAAAGGTACAGTTCCGAGAAGTAGTATGTCTATCAGACGAAGCGGACATTACTCACAAACACAGCTGATGGTCGAAACATGAAGCATGGCTAGGAATACGCTTTTGACTTGTATTATATATCCTTCCAAGCTAGGCATAAGATATCAAATGTGAAGAAACGTGAAGACATTATAAATACAAGCACATTAAGTCTTAGTGAATATGTTTAAACACAAAGTGCTCAAAACATCCCTAGATGATGAAAAATACAATGAAGAAATAAATAAATAACTATGAAGATAAAAGGAAATGAGTCATTATGGTAAAGGGAACTGCCCAAATTGACCAAATATTTAAGGTTATCAATAGATCTAGGATAATTTAGTCTAGAAATCATTCGAAGTGAAAGTACCATGATATATCTTATTTAGATAAAAGCTGTTGGAGCAGTGATGACGAAACGAAGAATGTCATTACACTTGCACTGTCAAGTATTTGGTAAATGTAGGTTTGTGAAGATTACAAATATTAAACTGCAATCAAATGAGCGTTTATTTTAACAATCTGTTTCTAATATTACCCAGTTGCTCTTATTTCCCACGCGGCATTTTGTGCCATCCTTAAAGCCGCTTATTGTGCTCGAATTCAGTCAACAAACAAGGAAGTGAAGTCCTTTATCTCGACAAACTCCGCGTGTAAACAATAATGACGTCACAGCCATTAACAAATGAAATTCTGTTTACAGGTAATGAACACACTTCATAATATAAGAAGTAAAATGTAATGTATTTGAGATTCGTATGATTTAATATACATATGACTGAAATTGTATGTGCAATTAAGTAAGTATTTCTTTAGACTCTCTTGCCATATCCTAAGTAATCCATACCGTTTCACCTCCAACAAAGCTGCCGTAAGAAGAGGTTTATGTGATCTCAGGGGCTGGGGGGAAGCGGGGAAAGTGGATATGCCAAACTCTTGTCGAGAAAACGCGGTTCAAGGCTGTGGAATTACGTTGCGAAAAGGGAATAACTTGCAGAATTGCAGTCCTTGTTCAGTTTCGTGTGAATTTCTCTCGGGACGAAGAAGTGTGTTGCTTATGTGGAATCTCTCTAAATCTACTAGATTATTCTAGGATTCCAGCACCGACAGGAAATTGACTTGACATAGATACAATTTATTTTGTTTACCGTCACCATTACACTCATGCTTGTGTGTTTACACGTTTCACAGAAAATAATTCGAATCTTTCTTTTATTATCTCTTACCCAACTTCTGGTCATGAGCATTACATATGTGTAATTATATTTAACTATGAATAAGTTTAAAGTAGTTTCAAGTAAAGTGAATACAATTACCTATCAGCAGATCGGCACCATACACAACAAATAAATTAAAACAACAGCCACCAAAGATAAGAATTCATGATTACTGTTTGTCAAATTTCATTGCAGCCAGGAATGTGCAGTGCAAGGAACACAGAAAGCCTGTGCAATTTACTCCTGAATTTGAAATTACGAATGAATAACATTTTAAACGCAAAAAAGGGAAAATTCTTCAGCGCCTGTCCGGATGGTTGCCCAACATGAGCTCAACGAAGAAAATTATGAAAGCCAGAAGTACTCCTGCAATGAAAAAATTAAAGGCATATTAATGGATTTTTATTCATCTCTCTCATGTTTTTGTCCTCATACATGGATACTACTAAATATAACAGTAAAGACATAATACGATATCATATTTCTTTTGCACGAATTTTGATTCGAGATGAAGTTAATACGGTGGAATAACTATGAATAGAAGCTATATATACTTAGCGTCAATCACTGAGTTACCAGCTATGCACAGTCTTTAGAACCCCATTATTACCAAACATATAACACTGACCCATTACTACTTTTCTCTTCCAAGCCAAATGTCACCCCTTATTTAATATCAAGCAACCAAAATACTATCCCATTTTTCCTCAAAGATCCTAACTCTTCACGCTCACCTCCTGCATAGACACTGAACACCCCATAAAAATCGCCAAGTTCAAGGGTTCTAAGCTCTTTCGACTGGGTTGAGGAGATGGGTTTAAGACATTCTGTGGCATTGACGACTCCTTTCTTGTAGATGTAGTCCAGGAGGCCGAATTCCCTCAGCCTTATGATCCTGAAGATGACGACTTTGGTAAATGGTTTACGTGTGATAACAACAGGAATTTGGGGTCTGAACGATATGCTTCTCATTTAAGATTTTCTTCTTATCCTCTGTTTGAGAATTGAATATTAAAAAATGGACAATGACAGAGAGCATAAAATAGTGAACTTCGATTATTTTATTTTCACATATACTCGGTCACTGGTCATTTATAGTTATCTTTATCTACAGAGTTGCAGAGTTCTAACGGCTTAGGAATGGGATAATTGAATCAATCCAAAATCTCTTAAAAGACGAAATGAACGTAAAGAAATTAGGCACTAACTTATTATCTTATTATTATGTTTCATTTTACTCAGCATAATACAGGACCTAACACGCCCTTCCTCTGTAATTTACAAAGACTTACAGAGGATCGATCTTTGCCTTGAGAGAAGATCCTTTGGGAAAGAAGAATGTCAGGATGTAGGGCTTCAGAAACCCTTCAGACATGATGTAATTCGCACATCGCCCCGTCTGGAAAAGAGCAGATTCTTATTGTTATCAAAATACTGATTGGAATGTTAGAGGCATTAATGTATGTATTGGGAATGTTACTAGTGAGAAAAGGATGTGGAAAGTGAGTAAGAACAGTATTTGTCTAGTCTTTCCCCTTGTCAACCCTTGACAATGGACAATGCGGAAAAAAATATAAAGTGAGACAAAGAAACAAGACAAAAAGAAAAAAATGCATTTCAACATCCGGCAAACCACCTATGATAAAAAACAAACAAACTTACTTTCGAAAACGTCTCGTGAAGGATCTGAACGATGGCCGTGCGGGGGGCAGCAATGGCGTGCTTTCCGCGGACCAGGTCGGCCACACCCCAGGGTACGTTCGTCGGGCCGTTCACGCTGTTGAAAAGCCGACTCAGGCGACCCAGGGCTGTGGACTGCGGGGCGTTCTGAAACAGTGAGGGGTCGTGGGGGGGGAAGGTTGGAGGGCTGGTTCCCGCTGCTCTCTGTCTTTCCCTGTCTCGCATTTGTATTCTTTCTCTCTCTCATTTGAATTCCCTCTCTGTCTCTGTCTCTGTCTCTCTCTCTCTCTCTCTCTCTCTCTCTCTCTCTCTCTCTCTCTCTCTCTCTCTCTCTCTCTCTCTCTCTCTCTCTCTCTCTCCCTCCCTCCTTCCCCCCTATTCTCACCCTCTCTCTGTCTATTCATCTATCTATCTCTCCCTCCTTCCCTCTCTCTCTCTCTCTCTCTCTCTCTCTCTCTCTCTCTCTCTCTCTCTCTCTCTCTCTCTCTCTCTCTCTCTCTCTCTCCCTCCCTCCCTCCCCCCTATCCCCCCTCTCTCTATCTGTCTATTCATCTATATCTCTCTCTCTCCTTCCCTCTCTCTCTCTCTCTCTCTCTCCCTTCCCCTTTTTAACCGATCCTCTCCCCTCTCCTCCCCCTGTCTCTCACAACCGTCTTCTCCAGTTAATATTGCAAGAAAGCTGCAAGGGATATGAGAACTGATGATGTATTGCAAAATCCCTTGACGATTTTGCAAACCACGTCATTACTCTGTGCAGAGGCCATTTAAGAAATGCGAAAGGTATCTATCCCGTTAATAAAAGTAATTCAGAAATGGGAAGTGAAAAATGCATATCGATATCAAGTCCACACTTTCCTAGGTGTGATAACGTCCTTACACACATACTTAAATCCTGCTCTTAACTTGTGCGTCTGAACCGATCCATCACTGGGCAGGCGCCACGATGCAAATTCTAACACACTGCATAATACAGATTCTAACCGATTTTTGGGGGGATGATTGTAAGGTATATTGCATCATGCATTATTCCAACCACGAGGCTGATCGTAAGTAACTTTGGTTCGGATTTTAGTCAGTATCCCGTAAGAGAAATATTATTGGTATTATTGGTAAACCTG